ATTTATATTTTCATAGAGATTGTTATCCCTTCTTCATGGTTCACCATTTCAGATATATTCATGTAATGAAATGGGTTGGAACGTTGTCCAATGGTGATTTTGTCTTTAAAGAATTTCAAGAAGGTTTGATGCTGTTTTGAATAAATGTTAATAGAAGTGCTGAAAATCTATCAATTCACTGATATGTACTCACTAAACTCTACTATACATCCACATTGATATATGGAAATCTACATTTTGGACTTTGTAGAAGACCAGGATTGTAGGTTTACCCAAAAGGCATTCCCACTTTTAATTTTTCTTGGCCATCTCACACAATATACAGTATGAAGAGTGAAACAGGGACTTTCTCGTTTTCTTTTCTTTTGTACCTAAGGGTGATAACATGATCCAGTTCCGGACCGTGATATTTTCTGTAAGTTTCTAAAAAATTATTTTTTTCTGGTTATATACAGTCCTCATCCATGTGTAAAAACAGCATGATGTGTGAGTTCGTGGAAAATATCTCGAAATATTATGTGAAGAGACACACATGAGGAATAAAATCTATAAGGCTAAGGATGTCAGAGAAGAAAAGTGGTGTAAACCTACACCCTTAGAGCTCTACTGTGCCACCAAACCATGTACAACGTTGTCTAACCCCAGACATTTTTATGTGATAAGAGAAACTGTTTAAGCCACAACTCATTTTTATTCTTTACCTGTAAACACTGTCCTAATTGATAACCTTCCTCAACATTCATGTATTCAATAAATATTTGAGCGTCTACAAGGTGCAAAGCAATTTGCTTGCCTCTATGTTTGTTATGATTATTAATAGAACTTATTTATAATTTTAGGCATATTTAGACAAATACATAGGAGTATTAAAGGTGCAGAAAGCAAAAATTGATACCTGCAAACTGATGAGCACCCAGCTAGCGGGAGGGAGAAGGGAACATTCCAGGCAGAGGAGAGTACATGTTTAGAGTGAAGGTCCTAACAGAAAGGAACTCTGCAAATTTTTAGAAGTAGGAAAATAAAAAGCAGTGTTGCTATTGTAATCTAGTTTAAATGGCAACACCACATTTAATAAGCACTAGAAAACAATTCAAAATGAATAACATAGAGAACTAGAAGAGAACTTAGGTTCTAAGTGGTTTTTTAGATGGAAGTAAACTCATATTTACCTTCCACTTTTAATAAGAATCTCTCAAGATGAGAGTAGAGAAAGGAAAATGTATATTTATAAAAGCAGTGCTAATAGAAGAGGTAATATGAGTAGACAATATAATAATATAATATAGGTTAGATAGTCCTTTACATCTAATGTTGATTTATATTAAAATTGTTTTAAACATAAATTTCAAATTTGTTTAAAATGTTTTTAAAATATTTACTATCCTTATGAGTTTTATAATTTTCTCATGAAACTTCATTCCAACAGATTAGAGGCCTGAAAAGATGAGTTTAACCTGCCAGTTAATACTATCTTGAATGTAACACAAACACAAAAGAGTACGCTGATAAGTATATAACTCAAAATTATCACAAAGTAAATATATTTGGGTAGTCACCACCCAGGTAAAGTAATAGTAATAATAATTACAATAGCCTAGAAATACAGCTTGTGCTGCCTTCAGTAACAAACCCTAGCTCCTTCTCTCCAGACTTGCCCTGATTTGAACTTAAAGAAAATCACGGCCGGGCGTGGTGGCTCACGCCTGTAATCCCAGCACTTTGGGAGGCCAAGGCAGGTGGATCACGAGGTCAAGAGATTGAGACCACCCTGGTCAACATGGTGAAACCCCGTCTCTACTAAAAATACAAAAAAAAAAAAAAAAAAAAAAAAAATTAGCTGGGCATGGTGGCACATGCCTATAATCCCAGCTACTCGGGAGGCTGAGGCAGGAGAATTGCCTGAACCCAGGAGGCGAAGGTTGCAGTGAGCTGAGATTGTGCCATTGCACTCCAGCCTGGGTAACAAGAGTGAAACTCCATCTCAAAAAAAAAAAAAGAACATCACACAATATGTTTCTATGTATTAGGGTGTAATTTTTTCCTCATCATGTTGTTTTATGTAGTAAGAGTTTATTCATTTTTCTTGCTGTGTAATAGTCTAGAGATTAAATATATAGCAATTTATTTATCTATCCTACGGTTGACAGGCATTTCAATTTTTCCCAGTAATAGATTTCAACTGTCTTCAGTAATCAGCTATTGCAAACGATGCTACTATTCATATTACTGTAAATATGTTTTTCTGCGTGGCTGCATGCATATCTTTTGGGTCATTGTACTAGGATTTCTAGGTTATAGGGACTACTGAATACCTTCAACTTAGTATAAACTACCAAACAATTTTCTAAAACGCTTTTAAAATTTATCCTCCTACCAGGAGGATTTGAGATTGTTAGTTAGCCCATATCTTTGTTAATATTACTATTGTTCATCTTTTTTTCATTTTAGCTACCCAAAGCTGTGCTTAGTAGTATCTTAGTATAATTTTATTTTTCCTTTCTTTAAATACTATTTAAGTTGAACACCTTTTTTTTTTTTTTTGACTTCTCTCTTTGGATATATTCTTGTGTGAGGCTCCTGTTCAAATATTTTACCCATCTTTCTATGGTATTGTCATTTTCTTACACATTTGTGGCTTATTTTTTATACTTTGAATAAGCCAATTGTTGATTATACATATTACAACTTTTTTTTTTTATCCTGTGGCACGTCTTTTCATTCTCTTTAATGGTGCTTTTGGAGAACACCATTTTCAGTTTCAGGGCAGTGTACTTTATAATCTTTCCTTTAAGGTTAGTGTGGTTATGTACAACCCTAAAAGGTGTTACTTAAATAAGGTTTTGCCTATGTCAAATATAGAAAGGTATCCTCCCATTTTATCTTCTATAAACTTTATTTTTACTCTTCATATTTAAATTTATATTCTATTTGGACTTCATCGTGGAATACAGTTAAGGTAGGGTCCAAATTTACTTTATTTTCCCATATGACCATCCCTATCACCGAGAACAATTTATTGAAAATTCAACCAAGTGTAAGTTGAAAAACAACTCAATGTATGTTGCTATTATTACTTCTCTGGGATAGCTTCATTCCTTTAATCATGACCACTTTCCTTACTCTGTTAAGTTGGCATTCACTAAGTTCCTGTAGCTGAATATCTGGATTCAAACAGAAGCGTGCCAACATTCCCACAGTTGGCCATTTCCTCTATAACCCCATTTACTGTCCGTTCAAATATTACTTCAGTCTTATCACTTCTTCTTCCTTTGCTGTACTTCATCTTTGTGGACCAATTCTTTCCTTCAGCTATCTGTTTTTGTAAAATGTCACATAACTTTATCACTGGAGGACAAGGAGGTGATGCAACTGCACACTGCTTTGTGTGCATAAACTGAAAACCAGATACATGCTGACCAGTCATCAACAGACCTTCAAAAAAGTGATGTGATGTATTTTTCACTGATTATGATGTGCGACTATTTAAGCAGTGATTCTTGGACTAAAGAGCTGTACTAGCAAAGTTTGCACTTTATGTAATTACTCACGGTTAATATGGTAACTGAAAATTGAAGGGTCATTTTGGGAGAATGCTGTTATTTAACGAAACTGTAAAAACTAAAATTTGTGCATATTAAAGCAATGCAAAATAAGGACTGCATCAATGTTTTACGGCCACATTGTTAGATAAATTCACATTTACTAAAAGTATAACTTCTTGGAAAATTGACCTTTTTATCATTAAACAAAGGTAAATGTAATCAATGCTTCATTTTGTAACATCTACTTTAGATGAAACAAACTTTCTTGTTTTATTGTTTGTACTGTACATCTTTTTTACATTTTTTTATTTGCAACTTTTCTAAATTCTTATGCTTCAAGTATGTCTCTTATACATAGAGTGTAGTAGAAAATATCCTTTAATCTGGTATGAATATCATTCTCTCACTTATTTTATGTTTATGTTGCTTTATTTTACTTGTTTAAAATTTTTAACATTAAATATTCTGTTTTCCTTTTACTGATTAGTTATGTTGTTTTAGTGGATTTACCAGAGATTACATAATGGATCTGTGTCTTTTCAAAGTCCAATGTAAATTAGAATGTCATTTCACAAACAATTAAAGGGCCCTTAATTCCATTAACACCAATTACTCAGATTTTGACTTTTACTACTATTGTTTGCTGAGTGTTTTTATACCCTGTATGTTTAAACCCACAAGGTATTATTATAACTGTCTTGTATAGTGTGTATCCACTTATAATTACCCTATATATTCAGTCCTTTTATTACCCTTTCTTCTTTCTTTTCTTTCATCTTTTTAAAATTACAAAGGTTTCATGTGAGGTCATTTTCCTTTAGCCTGAAGTACTTTCTCTTTATGACCTTTAATACTGTCTTTTGATTTCTTTCAGCTTTGGCTTTGCTACAATGCCTTTATTTAATTTTTGTTTTAAATCTATTCATGATAGGATAGATTGCGATAATTGTCAGACATTTTAAAACTTAGTATAATTGCTAAAATAACATTCCACAGGGCTGGAATAATTGTTGAAGTTTTTCTCAGAATGTATGGCTAAAAACCATGATAGAGATCCAGCTATTTTGCTTCAAGGTTTTTACCCAAAAGAATTGAAGTTTGAAAATGAGTCTACATTTATCTAACTATGTTTGTGTAGCATTACTCACAATAGTCAAAAACGGAAGCAAATCAAGTGTCCATTGATGAATGAATGCATAAACAAAATGTAGTATCTATACACAATGCAATATTGTTCAGCCTTAGAAAGGAAGGACATTCTGACATATACTTAATGTGTATGCTCCCTGAAAGCATTATGGTAAGTGATGTAAGCTATCAAAAAAGAACAACTATTTTATGATTTCGCTTATATGAGATACTTGAGTAGTTAAAATCATAAAAACAGAAAGTAGAATGGTAGTTGCCAAGGCCTGATGGGATAGGGAAATAGGGTGTTACTGTTTAGTGGGTATAGAGTTTTAGTCTGGACAGATTAAACAGCCCCTCACCCTCTGAAAATGTTTGTCTGCTCCAAGTTCATCTCCACTTCCTCCTTGGTCAAGAGCACCTCACAGCTGCTGAGCCGTCCACTATCTACAGTTTTGCTGAAAAGACCAGAGACACTGACAGATGAGAGCCCCAGCAGATTGGCAGTCTCACGTCCCCTTACCTCATTTGTCTCTAGCCGCAGCTTCCAAACCAGCACCATTTCAAGGGACATCGACACAGCAGCCAAGTTCATTGGGGCTGGGGCTGCCACAGTTGGGGTGGCCGGCTCTGGGGCTGGGATTGGGACTGTGTTTGGGAGCCTCATCATTGGTTATGCCAGGAACCCTTCTCTGAAGCAACAGCTCTTCTCCTACGCCATTCTGGGCTTTGCCCTCTCGGAGGCCATGGGGCTCTTTTGCCTGATGGTGGCCTTTCTCATCCTCTTCGCCATGTGAAGGAGCCGTCTCCATATCCCATAGTTCCTTCTCCCATGTATGGTCAGCCCTGTGTGTTCCTTTTCCTATACCTCCCCAGGTACCCTGGGGAACGTGGTTGGCTCAGAGTTTGACAGAGAAAAGACAAATAAATACTGTATTAATAAGAAAAAAAAAATGGGTGATGTTAATTATTGTTCATGACGTAAATGTACTTAATGCTTAAAAATTATTAAAGTGGTAAATTTTCTTATGTGTATTTTGCCACACTTAAAAAGAACCATGGTTAGCTGGCTGCAGTGGCTCATGCCTGTAATCCCAGCACTTCGAGAGGCCAAGGCAGATGGATTGCTTGAGCCCAGGACTCCAAGATCAGCCTGGGTAGCATGGCAAGACTCCACCTCTATAAAAATTACAAAACATAGCTGAGCATGGTGACACAACCTGTAGTCCTAGCTATGGGGGAGACTGAGGTGGGAGGATTGCTTGAGCTGCAAGGAGCTGTGATCACACCACTACACTCTACCCCAGAAGACAGAACAAGACTTGTTTTTAAAAAAAGGAGAAGAGAATAGTGATACATACTACTAGTAGGAAAAACGTTAAGACAGAAATACTCAAATAATATCACCATTTTCAAAAATAAATTTTAGAAGAAAATTACATGAATTGAAAAAATAATTGAAGAAATAAAAAATAAAATTTTCCAGAACCGAGGAAAGACTATGTGCTAATAATGATAAATTTAAAGAACCCTGTCTAGATATGTCATGAAAAATTTCCAAAGAAACAGGATCAGATTGACATTGGACAGGGATTCTGAAACCTAGAATTCAATGAAGCAAAGACTTCCAATTTTTGAGTGTCGCACCTGGAAAATATTTTGAGATGGAGTTTTGCTCTTGTTGCCCAGACTGGAGTGTAATGGCTTGATCTTGGCTCATTGCAGCCTCTGCCTCCTAGGTTCAAGTGATTCTCCTGCCTCAGTCTCCCTAGTAGCTGGGATTATTGGCACCTGCCCCCAAACCTGGCTAATATTTGTATTTTTAGTAGAGACAGGGTTTCACCATGTTGGCCAGGCTGTTCTCAAACTCTTGACCTTAGGCGATCCGCCAGCCTGGGACTTCCAAAGTGCTGGAATTACAGGCATGAGCCACTGCACCCAGCTTTTTTTTTTTGAGACAGTCTTGCTCTGTCACCCAGACTAAAGTGCAGTAGCCTGATCTTGGCTCACTGCAACCTCAGCCTCCAGGGTTCAAACAATTCTTGCACCTCAGCCTCACGAGTAGTGGGGATTACCAGAGTGAGCCACCTTGCCCAGCTAATTTTTGTATTTTTAGTAGAGACAAGGTTTCACCATGTTGACCAGACTGGTTTTGAACTCCTGACTTCAAGTTATCCGCCTGCCGTGGCCTTCGAAAGTGTTGGGATTATGTGTGAGCTGTTGCACCAGGCCTGTAATCTTTTACCTACTGAAATTGTAAGGGCAAAAGTTAAATTTTTAGATAGAGGTTTATAGAAATTTTACCCCCTAGCAGTCTTACTGGGATAAGTAAAGAAAACCAACAACGATATGATTTTTGGATCACAACAAAACTAAAACGCAATCTACCAAGGAAGAGGTCAGAAAAATAATGGCATTTACTCTAAGATAACAAAGGCATCTGGGCCAGGCTCATGCCTGTAATTCCAGCACTTTGGGAGGTCTAGATGGGCAAATCACTTGAGCTCATGAGTTCAAGACCAGCCTGGCCAATATGCTGAAACCCTGTATTTTTGTATTACTAAAAATACAAAAATTATCTGGGTGTGGTGGCATGCATTTGTAGTCCCAGCTACTCTGGAGTCTGAGGCAGGAGAATTGCTTGAACCCAGGAGGTGGAGGTTGCAGTGAGCCGAGATTGTGCCACTGAACTCCATCCTGGGCAACAAGGTGAGACTCTGTCTCAAATAAATAAATAAATAATAAATAAAAGATAACAAAGAAATCCAAGAGACACTCGGATTTCTTCATAACCATCAAGACTTATGAAGAGGTGTGGGGGTCTGGCACGTCTGCCGGGGGACTTCCGACCAGCGGAGAGCCTCAGCCCCACTCAAGTGTTCTTAACCTGGAAGAGGGAGTGCGCGGAAGAAAAGATAGATAGAGAGCGGGGTCTGGAGGACTGCCAGGCAATGCCGGAGCAAGAAGTGCCAAGACAGCTAGTTTATTTGTGCAAACTACAGGTTATATACCTTTCAGTGTTTGAGGAGTGACGTACATTCCATTGTATCTTGAAATAAAATCAAGAACAAAAATTACAAGAAAAGAGGTACAGAAAGTATGACTCTTAATCAAAGGGTGTACAGCAAAGGGACAATAAAGCTTGCAAAAAAGGGGATCATAAATCTAAACATGTGTTTTTCTAAAATCAGTTAAGCTAGCAAGTAAGATTGTTAACAAGGTATAGCTGGACCTTTCTAAATGTCATTCTAACCTTGCCTATTCATATAGGATCATATGCAAACAATATGATTGAGTTAGCAGAGGTAAATGAAGTCATACAGTTATTGTGCAGAGAAGGAACTAGGATGCACACAATATCTACCCATACAATGTCTCATTAGACCATAAGGCTTGATCTCAGCCATTCTGTTGCAAATGTCAGAGGCAAAGATTGATGTTTATAAAATCAGTGCAACTAGACTTCCTCCTTTCCCTTAGCTCAACAGCCTCCAGGAGAGGAGAAACGTGTACGGGCTCAAGCTCAAGATGGCGAGGGTCCAGTCAAGGGCCCTTCGCAGGAGCGATCCCCACAAAGAGGTCTCCACACAATAAATTCATCAACAGACAGCATAATCAAACGTGAATGACAAAGGACAAATGTAATTCTCTAGTGAATGAGCAAATGAGAGAAAGGTCATAGTCTACATAGAAGGCAAACAAAATGTGATTTGACTCAGATAATGTTATGATTGTATTTGATCTTGAGCCTTGGAATATTATCTTTTTATTGTCAGAAGGTTGGTGACTTTAGATGATAGCATCTTATGTATGGATTCAACCATAATTCTTGGCTTTGTAGAAATATTTCTATTGTTATAAGACTGCAAATGACACTGGTTTTCAGTTTTCGAACCAAAAAGAACATGGAAAAGTCATAGTTACACACAAAAGCAAATATAACTTTGGCAATAAAAAAAGCAAAACTATTTGAGAGATTTTGAGAGTAAAAGATCAAGAAAAGAAAGGAATAGGGAAAATTATAGAGTTTGTATTTCATTGTGCAGGGGGAAATAATGTTTAAAATTGTTGGATCAAGACATAAATGTTTTGGTAACTTATTAAAACTATCTATCTATCTATCATCTATCTATCTGTCCATCTGTCTATCTATCTATCAACTATTTATATCTACCTCTATATCTATCTACAATATTGAGGTGAGAGGCGGGACTGGGACACCAGACCAAATTGAGGACTAGCTAAAACAATTCTGGGGTGGATGTAGCTTTCCATAAGACATGCCTACTAGTGTGCCATGTCAGTTTACCATTTCCATGGCAACATCTGAAAGTTACTTTCCCTTTCCATGTCAATGACCAGTTGACCTGGAAGTTATCATCCTCATCCTAGACATTAACCACTCCTTAATTTACATATAGTTAAAAGTAGTTATAAATCCGAATGCAGAACTGCATCTAAGCTGCTATTCTGGGCATGTTGCCTGTGAAGTATCCCTGCTCACAAGGAGCAGTACATCTGCTTCTACTGTGCATTGCCACTTCAATAAAAGTTGCTGTTTAACACCACCATCTCATCCTCAAATTCTTTCCTAGATGAAACCAAGAACCCTCCAAAGTTAAGCCTCAATTTGGGGGCTTGCCTATCCTGCATTAATATTAACATCATCATCTATCTAAAATTTTAGAAAGGTAGAGGTGGTGTATAGGACAGATTTTTCATTATGCACAGCATGGTGTCAATAGAGATTGTTTAATTAGAAGAAATCAAGCTATCTGTGAAAATCATATTGTAAAAGTAAAAGTAAGCCTCAAGAAAATCAGAACAAGAATAATCCAAAGTGGTACCTTGGGGATACAGACAAGTGTAGAACATTTGGCTACAAAGTGGTACCTCTACAGCATGTCAATGGAGTGGATTTGGAACACAGGTTATAATTTTATAACTTGATGTTTTAATATGATATAAAATTACATTATAAATGGAATACAGTTTATTTTAGGTTTTAAAAAGTAATTTTTAATAACAGTTATGACAAAGGAAAAAATAGCAGAAATATGCATGAAAAATTAGGTTCAAAAGACTATTATTTGCACTAACTGCTTTTGACAACACTTTTGCTCAAGGTGATATTTTTCAGTGAAAGAACAATTTGAAATACATTCATTTTCTCCTCATTAATTCTGCCTCCCAGTTAACTTATACTTTTGTGTTCTAGAAAAGGTGGCGAAGTCAAGTATTTTATTTTATTTTATTTTTAATGTATCAGGAGATGCAAATCCACAAAAGAGAAAAGTTATTTGTTAGTTCTTTTTATTTTGTGTTTTTCTTTTCTCATGGCAAGCAAACTATCCAGAAAAAGAACAAATAAGTAAATAAAGCTTCACATGGAATAAAAAGCAGAATTTTGTTTTACAGTTAAAGGAAAGGAAAAATAATATTCTTTGTTGAGACCCATAAAGGTGAATTCTGTCAAAATTCTCTGCTTTCTGAAATTTTCCATTTATGTAAAGTAAAATAGCTTAAGTGTTTGGAGAAGCATCCTCCTAAGAACTATAGTATGATTTTTCATCAAGAATTATTCGCCTAGTAATTGGTGAGGAAAAACTATTTTTTAATAAAATTATTTTAGATAAGTTTATTGTCATTCTACACTGTGTTTCTGGTACATAAAATATATTGTTATAAAATTGCACGTTTAAGGATGTAGAATACTAAGCTCCTCACAAAATTTTTATAGAAATCATACAAAAATACCATGTGCTTCCCAAGAAATGTAAAGTGAAATGGCATTGCCTTTAGTTTTCTGTTGCTCATGCACATTTTTTATTCTTGTCTAGATTCCTTTAATCTGTATTTGTTATATTTTTCTCAAAAATACTTAACATTTTAATCACATATTTTACTTTTGAATTTGAGAATAGTTTTTTGATAGAACCTTCTACATTTGCAGT